ACAAACCACATTTTCTCATTTATTTCCCCAATAACTTTTAGTCCAACACATTTTGGAAAGAAAAACGAAGGAAACATTTGCTACACCCCATTTCCTATCACTCTTCTGCTTTAAACAAACACTTCTTTAGCTAAAATGTTCTCTGTTCATGCCCAGAGAACCCAGGCTTCATTGAAGGAGCAGTCGCTGATTGGCTGCTGCAGTGTGGGGAAGCAAGGGAAATCAGATCAGTGCTGTCCTTCTCCCGGACCAGCAGCAACTCGTCTGTTTCCCTCTCTCTTTATTTCTCCGTATTTTGGGCCAAAGAATCGGGGCATCTTCTTCCTGGTGCCTCTTCAGTTATACAGAGAAACTTGAGTAACATGCTGTTAGCTTAATATTTAAAAATTTTTTCTGTCATTTTTATAAGGCAAAAATTATTACAAGCTTCAGTTTCTTTCTTTTCGTCTTTCTTTCTTTTTAAAATAATGTCTCTTAAAAAATAGTAAAAAAAAAAAAAAAAAACCAACGTGTTACTATCCCCAGGAAGCTCTTCTTGACTGTTAATACAGGTTAGATTCCAGTTATATGCCCTCATAGCCCCTTGTATGTCAGCTTTCAGCATTTAACTACAATTACAATGAATTATTCAATCATGTAACTCACTGATGTCTCTTATCCACTATGATGGCAAGGACAATATATGTCTAATTTACTGCTTTATCCCCAGCCTCGTACAGTGCCATGCACCTGGAAAGTATTCAGTAAATATTTCTTTAATGAAAAAAGTAAAATAAAATAATATCTCTTTACTTCAAAGCATCAAAAATTGTAGTTAAAAACAAAAACAAAAAAACAGGAAAGTAATAGGAAAATCTAGGTTCTCCTTAAACAGTGATGTCATTCTGGTTTGGTCAGTGCTATTTGGTCAATGGGAGTCTCGGAAATTAATTAAGGTTCTTGAGGTTCTTCAGACACATGGCCCACATATCATGGTTTCCCTTACTTGAAATGTTACTGTATAGCCATAAGAAGGAAAATTCACGGAATTCCAATTAAACAATAAAGCTGAATGAAAGTTTTTTAAAAAGTCACTGGACAGTAGGCTCTGCTTGAGGTTTATCATCTGAAAGAGGAAGACACTTATTTTAAAATATTTGGTTTATTAAAATACCATGACTTGATAGGTAGATTAGGACTATTCCTTTGGACTCAGCATCATGTTGTTAAATTGCAGAGAAAATGACAGAGAAGGAGCAGCACTTTGGTAGAGATGACTTTAAGGAGACTTGAGGGAAAAAATATGGCTTTCCTCCCACAGTCTCTCTCTCTCTTTTCCCCCCACCTCACCTAACCATGAACCTAATGTAATCTTTTTTTTTAAAATTTTTTTTTTTACACACAGTCTTGCTCTGTTGCCCGGGCTGGAGTACAGTGGCATGATCTTGGCTCACCACAACCTCCGCCTCCCGGGTTCAAGTGATTCTCCTGCCTCAGCTGCCCGAGTAGCTGGGATTACAGGCGTGCACCACCACACCCTGCTAATTTTTGTTTTTTGCTAGAGATGGGGTTTCACTATGTTGGCCAGGCTGGTCTCGAACTCCTGGCCCCGTGATCCGCCCGTCTCAGCCTCCCAAAGTGCTGGGATTACAGGCTTGAGCCACCGCACCCAGCCCTAAAATTATTTGGCTCTTGAATTTCTGACATATCCTTCTTTGGACCACCCTCAGAAAAAACTATAACATAGATATTGTTTTATGATTTGTTTTCTTACGATGAACAGTTAGTACCTTCACGTTCTCCCAATCCACCAACCAGTGTTTTTTTGTTTGTTTTTTGTTTTTTTGGGACAGGGTTTTACTCTATCAGTAAAACCTGGAGTGTAGTGGCATGATCACGGCTCACTGCAGCCTCAATCTCCCAGGCTCAAGAGATCCTCCCACCTCAACCTCCCAAGTACCTGGGACCACAGGTGCACACCACCACACCTGGCTAATTTTTGTATTTTTTGCAGAGATGGGGTTTCACTATGTTGCCCAGGCTGTTCTTGAACTTATGGGCTCAAGTGATTCTCCTGCCTCAGCCTCCCAAAGTGCTGGGATTATAGATGTGAGCCACCATGTCTGGCTTCAACAAGTTTTCCTAAGAAACCTACCAGGGTGTGCTATGGGACACCAAGAGAGGACACACAGATAGGACAGAGCTATTCTTTGGAAAGGGAAGTGAGTACCCCTTTCACTTCTCTGCTATGAACCTGGGGGGTCAGTTTGGGAGGCAGAAGAACTGGAGTGAGCTTTGGGTACAGCACACAGAACAGAACTTAGAAATCTAAGAGGCAGCATCTAGGGAAAAACCGAAACCAGATCTGGGCAAACTACACAAACCAGTCATGATGCCAAGGGGATTATATGCTGAGAGAGAGGATCAAGGTATGAGGCAGCAGAATGACGGGAGCCTGGGGAAGTCAGAGGGAAACTACAGGGTTCAAAACAGACAGTGGCAGGCGGGGCCCAGGCTAAACCTGAGCTTGGGTGCTCTTAATATGCTACCTATGATGGTGATGGTGTCTGGACGGTGTCTCCTTGGCTCATCCTACCCATTCCATCTGTGCTGGTCATTAAGTCATACACTCTCAGCTCCAAGCCCATCGTTCTATAATAGGCTCTGTGATGCTGGGTGGAGCCCTGCTGACAATTCTCCTCTGCCAGTTGTTTCCCTGGTAGGCTCAGCCCATAGCAGGTGCTAGAGGGAAACTGCTAGGTAAGAGGAGGTAGAACAAGCTGATCCCTCCTGTTCCGGTCAGCCTCGCCTCAACAACAGCCCTGTCCTGGCAGTGATCGTTGATTGCAATACTTTTCCTACATTCCTCTGAGGCACCCTGTGTTCCTTCCATGGAAAGCTGGGTCCCAGTTCTCCTCTTTCAAGCTTCTGTGTTCTAATAACCTCAACCTCTTCCCTTTGCTCCCCTAGCCTAGGATGGTAGCTGCTTCCTGCCATTACTAGTTCTGTGCTATTTCAGTGCCCTCTCTTTGCATTTCTAGTCTTCCAATGCCTTTTAAATCAATTCCTTATATTAAACTCCCTCTGTTAATGTAAGTGTGGTTTCCTTGTGTTTCCTTGACTGGATCTTGCCTGACTGAAGGGTCAATCCTGTTGAAGGTGGGGAACCCACCCGCTTCTTTTTCTACATGCACTGAGTATTTACTCTGGAATTTTGCTGAGGGGACTTATTTAATCCTAATAGTCCAGTGATGTTGCTGTTTTCCCCATTTAATTCTGGTAGCTGAGACTCAAAGAAGTCATGTCATTTCCCCAGAGTCACACAGTACATGCTGTTAAACATGCTAATAGAACTCGATTCAGACCCAGACTTGCCTGACCCCCAAGCCCTTCTCTTGTATTCCAACTTGCTGCCTGCTGTTCCTGCTGGTGTCCCAACTTCCCCTTTGCACTGTCCCATCATCTCCATCTCTTTCCTCTGAGTGGGGTGTGTGGAGGTGGTTGAGTCCTGGGGCAGAGGAACAGAAGGGCCCTGAGTGCCCATGAAAGATGGGTGGAGGGGAGGATGTTGAGGCCACAGAGGCCACTGAGTTGAAAGGATCCATGAATACAACACTTTGCCTGGAGTGAGAATGGCACTGCCAGTAGTGAAAATAGCCAGGCCAGGGAGGGAAGCATTGGGTGGAAATTCTGTAAGCGAAAGCCAAGATGGGGTGAACTTGGCAAGCAACAGCTTCTGCCTTGAAACTGCTGCCTTTTCCCTAAATAGGTTCAGATATTCTGAGAAAGATTAAGCTACAAGGAAAATGAGTTCTCTTTAGCTTTATCCTTATACAGAAAAGACAGAAAAGATGGAAGTATTCACTGCTGTTTTCTCACTTTCTTCAAAACACTTGTGAACTCTGCATTTTAACTTCTCTGCTATACTTGCATTTGCAAATCTTAACAATACATGGAACACTGGACAATTTAAGGCATAATGTCATCTGGCAACACAACAACTTTGTGGGATTGTTTACCTGGCTGATATTCTGGCTCTTACAATGATGTTTCGATGTTTCCCTTTTCACTTCTAGGAGGCTCAGAGTCCAAAGAGTAATGCACCTTTTGCAAACAAGTAAACTTTGTGTCACCACAGCTACAATAATTTTCCTTATATTGTCTGTGATAATTTTATTTCAACATTTTATCTTGCATTGTATACATCTTTGTGAATCTCCTTGAAATCTTTTGGGAAAAAATTCTGAGGACATTTCTACCTCCTTCTATATGTTCATCTAAATATTCATCTATAACTTTTTCTCTACCTCCATTTATACTTCATTTCTACTGCCATTTATTTCCTCTGTGCCTCCATTTCTGCACTGATCTGCTCAGACAGCTGTGAGAAATGGACAGTCCAACTCTCTCTTTGTAGTCTTCCAGTTGTGTGTTTTTAACCCAAATTTGAATATGAAAGCCTAATTATGAAGCTTTTGACCTAAAGATGGTTCACATCTGGTCTTAGAAACCTCCTCTGTGTTTCTACAAGAAAGCCAGTCATTGACAGACATACTAATGGGCCTGTGATATAGAACTCAAACCTTAAAAAGTTCTAACCCATCAAGAAGTCCCATTCATCATTTCATTTTCTGGAAAGGATATAAAAAATGAAATGTCAGAGCTATAATGTCAGGATCGTTTAAAATGTCAAGTGCTTGTTGTTGCATAGCCTGGCTGTCTGCTGTTCTGATCAAACCTCCAACTGGCATAATAACTACAGAGGATACATCGCATTTTCATGCACAACTGGATGCAAATTTATAATGAATCATATGAAAACATTCTCACTGCCCACGCTGAAGTTTTCTCCTCTTACTACATACCTTAAGATTTTTCTTTTGAAGCAGAGCATCATTACTAATGCAAGACAGCATTCACCAATGAGAAATAGGTGCAGAAAAAAAAAGTTTCTCAAATAAACCAGAATTCAGTCATTTATAATATACAGATGCAACAAGAGCAAAGAGGCAGCAAACACATTTACCACATGCACGTTTAATCTGAGAATGCTAATCTGTGGAAACACTTTCCAACTGATAATCCAGTTCTATTTCAAGGTGTAGATTTAGTGCACAAGGAAACACATATGAGAGTTCTATTTTGAATGGATAGGTATGGAGACAATCCTTCAGTGTAATTATTATGTTTTAATCTGCAGAGAGAGCACAGAAAAGCAACAATGCATCTGTTTAGGATCTTTATGGAAGTCTCTATTGGATTAAAATAAGTGCTATATTCACAAGCCTATATGAATGATAACAAAGACCTGAAATCAACAGCATGTACATGGGGAAGATTCTATTTCTTCTCTATTGAAGTATTGTGCTCATTGATAGCTGGGAAAGGTATTCTCACAGAGACTTCATTTTCACCTTCCCTAGGCCAGCCTTGTCAGGAGATTTGGAGGAGTCTATCTCCGTGTCTGGCTGCTTCCCGTTACAGATTACTCTTAGCACATTGGAGAGGTCGAAGCTCTTGTAAACAATCTCCAGGAGATCCTGATCTTTTGCTATGCCATTGATAAATTCTTCTAAAGTCAATTCTCCTGGAAAATAACCAAAAAAAAAAAAAAAAAAAACAGTTAAGAAGGGACTTTGTCTATACCACTCACTGGCACAAATGATATACTCACTGGTATGTTTACTGATATTCTTTTGATATCCTTTCCCCTCAACCAGACTCTAAGATCTTTGAAGATCTTCATTAAAAAAAAAAAAAAAAAAAGCATTTAGTGGTGGGGTTGCCAATGAAAATAAAGATAATAAACCTATTTTTATGTTTAGTTGAAAACATCAGGTAATGCCCCAGATGAAATAAGAGCACATATACAATTATATCTCTGCACAGTATTGGTTTTTGGACTTTTAATCTCGAAGATATGACCAAGTCTTAGGAGCATGATAGACTGGAGATTTTTAAGATCAAGAAAAAATGACTACTCACAAGGCTATTTTCAATATTCTTCTCTCTGAAGAAATAATTCTTGGGACTGTCCAAAGCTGTGAGAAAGCTTCAACATGTGTTCATTCCACAAGTTATTATTGGTCATTATTTCTCTTCTCTTTTTCTGGTTTTTGAGTCCTAATCTTATCGTCTTGACTTATGTCTTAAGTCTGTGCTGGCCAGCCCAGTGCTATAAATTTATCGCCTTATATCCATGTGTCCTGGCTGCCATGTTTTTCTACTACCTTCATCCCACAAGATGACTTTTAAACATTTTTTAGGGAGGTGGAATTCTCTGTTGATATGAATCATTTTGGGTTGGGATTATGAGTGTGTTCAAGTTGAAGGGTACAGATGCAGTTACTGATCTCAAAGAGACTGTACCCAGGGGAGGTTTGTGGATGGGTAGATCAGCCAAAGACAGGTCAAGTGCATTCAAGGACTGGAGAAAGTGCATTCAAGGAAGGAAGTCAGCAGGGACTGAGTCAGGTGTTATGCTGTACCTATACTTTTTAACGGAGAAGACAAATATCTAAAATACCACAACATTGATTCAAATGTCAAAAAGCATGAATCATCATATATTCGTAAGACACCTCCCTTTTGGTTTCAAAGCAAAATGCTAAAATGCATTTTTTAAGAGAAAGATCTAATCTGTCTTCCTTATGTTATGCTTATGCCAAAGAAAGGTCTGTGAAAAACCTCAGTTAACAGCAGTCAGGAGTAGGGCCCCATGTGTGTCACAGAAAAGGTCCAATCGTGGAAGAAACCATAGGGAGTAGAGAAGATTGCAAATTTTGAAAAGTGGTACGTGCGTGGCTGGGGAGAGTCCCATGGGTCAGTGGCAACGGGGCAGGGAACCTCAAACAATCACAGAATAACTGCCCTTTACAAAAGAAAATCACAGCTGGTAAATTCCCAACCCCAAAGACTTTTCAAATGTATTGGGGCTCAGCATGACCAAGAGAGAAGTGGAAGTGGAGCTGGAGACAGTTTTGACTGTTTAGTTATAAAACTTCTCTGCTCTAACTACTGGCTACAGAAGAGGCAGCATCTGAAAGAACCGGGATATAGTAGTGGTCTCAGCTGAAAAGCAATGCAGGTTACTGACATAGATAAGAGAGAAAAGATGGAAATATTCACTGCTGTTTTTCCACTTTCTTCAAAACACTTGTGAACTCTGCATATTAACTTTTTCATGTTACCTAATCACTTACCATAAAAAAAAAATCTCTGTTGCAAATCATCAAACTCTACCTTTAGTAACACGTTTACTATATCTAAACTACTTCTTTTGAAATTTTCTTCACTGTTTCCCTCTAGCAGTCAACATTCATTCATTTATTCATCACATTTATTAAGCCCTAACCACAATTACCATTTCTATTACCACACAGCTACCACCAGTATAGCCGACTACAGTGCTATGAATATGGTAGGAGCTCAGAAGGCACACACTGACTAATTGCCTTCCTTTATCTCATGTTCTTTAACATTGCTTTCTATTCTGCTTTAATGTGACTGTGGATTTAGGCCCCAACAAATTAAAAGAATGCTTTCTGTATTTCCCTGGAAAGAGTCACCTGTGGAGGTCCAGAAGCTTCCCACTAAAGAATCTACCAGCAAGGCCGGGCACGGTGGCTCACACCTATAATCCCAGCACTTTGGGAGGCCAAGGCAGGCGGATCACGAGGTCAGGAGTTCCAGACCAGTTGGGCCAACATATGGAACCCCATCTCTATTAAAAATAAAAAAAATTAGCCCAGCGTGGTGGTGGGCACCTGTAGTTCCAGCTACTCGGGAGGCGGAGGTTGCAGTGAGCCAACATCAGGCCATTGCACTCCAGCCTGGGCGACAGAGCGAGACTCCATCTCAAAAAAAAAAAAAAGATACAAGATTCTACCAGCAAAAAGCCAACGCCTGTGAGAGATGATAGTGCAGGGAGATCATGGGACTTAGAAGGAATCTAAAGTCATCATTGAGTTTTTATTACTTTGTTTTATATATACAGACACATTTCAATTTTGAGTCTCCCCCCGTTGCCCAGGCTGGAGTGCAGTGGCGCTATCTCAGCTCACTGCAAGCTCCGCCTCCCGGGTTCACGCCATTCTCCTGCCTCAGCCTCCCGAGTAGCTGGGACTACAGTCGCCGCCACCACGCCTGGCTAATTTTTTGTATTTTTAGTAGAGATGGGGTTTCACCGTGTTACCCAGGATGGTCTCGATCTCCTGACCTCGTGATCCGCCCGCCTTGCCCTCCCAAAGTGCTGGGATTACAGGCTTGAGCCACCGTGCCCACCCGACACATTTCAATTTTTGTAGGACATTATTCAGAAACCTCATGATTTTATTTTTATAAGCTGAAATATATGTACTCGGAATCTACGTTGTTTAGTGCTGTTTGTTGTATTAGTGGGTGTACTCTGTATGTCTGGGGACCTTGAAGGTCAGTATCACTGGTGCTCTTTCATCACTCACTACCAATTTCAGGAGTTTCATTAGTAATAGAATAGCTACCCAGGAATATTTTTACTTAGTCCTGTTTTTGCAATCCAATTATCCTGCTGATATTCCTAAATCATGCATTTCTTCCCATTTACATCTTAATCTTTTATTAAAAAACATTCTCCTTCACCCCGCAAACCCCCACCAAAAAAAAAAAAAAAAAAAAAGCAGAATTTACTGTGCATGCCTACATTAGTATTTCTGGTCTAAACTGGATCCCTTCCCTACAGCTTATACAAAAATTAGTTCAAGATGGATTAAAGACTTAAATGTTAGACCTAAACCATAAAAACCCTAGAAGAAAACCTAGGCAATACCATTCAGGCCATAGGCATGGGCAAGGACTTCATGACTAAAACACCAAAAGCAATGGTAACAAAAGCCAAAATTGACAAATGGGATCTAATTAAACTAAAGAGCTTCTGCACAGCAAAAGAAACTACCATCAGAGTGAACAGGCAACCTACAGAATGGGAGAAAATTTTTACAATCTACTCATCTGACAAAGGGCTAATATCCAGAATCTACAAAGAACTTAAACAAATTTACAAGAAATAATCAAACAACCCCAACAAAAAGTGGGTGAAGGATATGAACAGACACTTCTCAAAAGAAGACATTTATGCAGCCAACAGACACATGAAAAAATGCTCATCATCACTGGCCATCAGAGAAATGGAAATCAAAACCACAATGAGATACCATCTCACACCAGTTAGAATGGCGATCATTAAAAATCAGGAAACAACAGGTGCTGGAGAGGATGTGGAGAAATAGGAACACTTTTACACTGTTGGTGGGAATGTAAACTAGTTCAACCATTGTGGAAGACAGTGTGGCAATTCCTCAACGATCTAGAACCAGAAATACCATTTGACCCAGCCATCCCATTCCTGGGTATATACCAAAGGATTATAAATCATGCTGCTATAAAGACACATGCACATGCATGTTTATTGCAGCACTATTCACAATAGCAAAGACTTGGAACCAAACCAAATGTCCATCAATGATAGACTGGATTAAGAAAATGTGGCACATATACATAATGGAATACTATGTAGCCATAAAAAAGGATGAGTTCATGTACTTTGTAGGGACATGGATAAAGCTGGAAACCATCATTCTGAGCAAGGACAGAAAACCAAACACAGCATGTTCTCACCCATAGGTGGGAATTGAACGATGAGAATACTCGGACACAGTGTGGGTAACATCACGCACCAGGGCCTGTCATGGGATGGGGGAAGCAGGGAGGGATAGCATTAGGAGATATACCTAATGGAAATGACGAGTTAACCGGTGTAACACACCAACATGGCACATGTATACATATGTAACAAACCTGCATGTAGTGCACATGTACCCTAGAACTTAAAGTATAATTAAAGAAGAAGGAAGAAGAAGAAGAAGAAGAAGAAGAAGAAGAAGAAGAAGAAGAAGAAGAAGAAGAAGAAGAAGAAGAAGTCGTCATCCTGGTTTTAAAAGAAATCAGCCTGTGTAGAGGATTTTTTTAAATTTTAATTTCTTTTCATTATAACTTCATAAAACATTGAGCTGGGGCTGGAACCTTAGCAAAGATAGGGTGGGGAAGATTTGGGAGATGAGAATAACCAAATTTTCAAGGGAGGATGCTGGTGAAGATTTTGAATGACACAATATTGTGTTGATTAGCACGGTGGCACTAGAAGCACTTAGCGACATTTTACAGGAGAGCTTTCGCATGCAGTAGTTTCTTTTCCTTTACGTGGAAACTCAATTCCCTCTTATCTCCTGGTAATTCTCAGTTTCCCAGTTTGATTCAATGTGACCCTCATGGCTTTTCACAAAGTTCTAGTCTAAAGCACTGGTCTTTCTCTTTAGTTAATCAATAAAATTTCTTTATGTCCTGCCCTTTTTTTTTTTTTTTTTTTTACCCAAAATATCTGCTCACTAATCACCCTTCTTGGCCAGGCACAGAGGCTCATGCCTGTAATCCCTGCAGTTTAGGGGACCGAGGCGGGAGGATCGCCTGAGGTCAGGAGACTGACACCAGCCTGACCAACATGGCGAAACCCTGTCTCTACTAAAAATACAAAAATTAGCCGGGCATGGTGGCGGGCACCTGTAATCCCAGCTACTGGGGAGGCTGAGGCGGAAGAATCACTTGAACCCAGGAGGCGGAGGTTTCAGTGAGCCGAGTGGTGCCACTGCACTCCAGCCTGGTGACAGAGAGAGACTCTGTCTTAATAATAATAATAATAATAGTAATAATAATCACCCTTTTCATTTCCTCTTTGGCCTCTTTTCACCTTCACCATTTGTTATTATGAGTCACTTAAGTCTCCCTTATCCCTGTGCCTTATTTGGCTCTATGTGAAACTTACTGAGGCACTTTCTGCACTTGATGTTGTGAACATCCATAAATCTCCCTAAATCATGTCAAGAATGATGCCTAACCAGAGCATGGTAGAACATGGATTGCTGTTCTTCTGGTGGTAAAGCCTGCAGAATTCCACACTTAATCATTTTACCTGACTTGTCTCCTCTGTTTTCATTTTTCAATAATATTGAATGTTTAGCTTCAATTTTCTGCCTCTGTCTCTTCAAGCTCTTTCCTGATGCTTTTGTTCGTAATATAAAAATAAAACTAATTTGTTAAATTATAACAATAATATGTCCTCATGATTAAAAAAATTGAACAATACAGAAATGTAATGAAAAGAAAAAAATTCCCCTTTAATCTCTTTCGGGCACCTGGTCTGACTTCCCATAGGTAATTAACTCCTGTTAACTGTCAAGGTTTATATTTTATGAAGTTTTTAACATATATGCATATATTTGTTAATTTCAAAAAAAAAAAATTCTAGATACCTTTCTTCCTATAGATAGAATTGCATATTGTGCTTGTTTCTTGATTGAATCTTTTCTTTATTCCTTATATGACATCTTCTTAGCAGACACTCTTTCATTTCACGGTTACTTATACAGCACCTACTGTGTGCCAGCATAGGAAATATCAAAGTACACAAAACGGAAATGGTTCTTGCTTTCATGGACCTCATAGCTCTTCATCTTGTTATAAATCTAGCATTAATCCTGTACCTTTATTTTGCTTAACCTTCTAACTTTGATTTACTATTATAAGAATTATGCTTAGAATACTTCACAAAAGTTGTGTATTTTTCTGTCACAACAGATATGATGTTGACCATTCTTTTGCAAACAATTTACAATCAAATTGAGATTTTCATATATGTACCTAAAGTCTTTTTGTTGTATATTTGTGGGTTGTTATCATCTTTACTTTTGGTTTCAATATTCATAAGATGATCGGCACAGTGATGTGCTTGTTTTTTATTTTGAGAAATAAAAAATATATATACATATATATGTCAGCGTATAGTCAACAGCATTTTGGTATACTTAATTGAGCATCTCTATTTCTATCAATACTGATGTTTTGATAAAAATGATAATGAACAATAAAAAACTGTATTTGAGGTATACAGAGTTGAGCTTTTACAAATGCGGATAGACATTCTCCTCTGTGGTGCTAACTCCCCCTTTATTTGTAAATGAAGCACTTCATATTATTCTTCTCTGTCAAATACTAGCCAAATCCTTTTGTACTTCTGCAAATATCAACTTTTTATATCTTCATTACTTTTTCTTCCTTGTCTTTGGTTACACTGGGTTCTCTCTGTCCACCAGCACATTTGTTAGCATCTTTTTCTTGATGTATGGAATGATCCAGCTGTCTCTTGATGAAATGATGTAACAGCTGTCAATAATTTTTTATACAAAAGCAAGTTCTATCAGTTTTAGTTCTGTATATGCATTTGCTAAGAAATAGTGATTCATAGTTACTCCGAAGTGTATACGGATGTGGATGTGTGTATAATTTTTTAAATTAAAATACAAGTTTTGGGGGCTGGGCATGGTGGCTCACACCTGTAATCCCAGCACTTTGGGAGGCTGAGGCGGGTGGATCACAAGGTCAGGAGTTCGAGATCAGCCTGGCCAATATGGTGAAACCCCGTCCCTACTGAAAGTACAAAAATTAGCTGGGCATGGTGGCAGGCGCCTATAGTCCCAGCTACTTGTAGGAGGCTGAGGCAGAAGAATCGCTTGAACCCAAGAGGCAAAGGTTGCAGTGAGCTGAGATCACACCACTGCACTCCAGCCTGGGTGACAGAGCTAGGATATTATTTTAGGATAATATTATTATCCTAACAATAATAATAATAATAATTTTTATGAGAGGAAACAATTAGTGTATTTAGTTTTATAAACTATTCTAGAAACCATAATTCATCCCCTTTTTCCTGTCATTGACTTATTCTTGTAGGTCAAAGAGCCCATCTCTCTAACTTCAGGTGACCTCAGCTATTGCCCAGGCACAATTTCTCTTTTCTGAATTCACATCTCTTTTAACCTAGCCCTTTCTATTTCAAGTTCCTTTCTAATCACAGTCCTCATTTTATTGATTCATTATACTTTGCCCTTGGGGAATCTTCTTGGATAGTAAACAAAAAGTCTTGAATTATATTCACATTTTCTGGAATACATTATCTGTGTCCTCAAACTAATAGAATCTTAGTTTTTTCCTAAGAATACCAAAATCTTCGTACTTCTCCCGAGGAAGGTCACTTTCCTATTCCCCTCACTCCTAGCACTAGAAGCAGTATTCATGGATATTATCAAACATTCTTGACCTGCCCTTTTGAAAGTCACTGTCTAAACCAAGTCTTAAAACTGTGACGTCCCATCTATTTCCAGAGTACTCATTCTTCTACATCAATGCTTTCAGCCCCAGGCTGAAATGGATTATTTACTCTACTCCAATCCCTGCCATCCTGCAGAACCTCTAAGATTAAAAACAAAGTGAAACAGAATAAAATCTACAGCATTTCTCCAGTTTGATGACCACCATTTTCAGTGGCATATTCCAAATAAAGTCTTCATTGTCCTCACCAGACCCTCCACTCTCCATTTCTCTGGTCCTTTCCTAGCTGCACTTAGCCACCTTATCTACTCTGGGTAGTCTGATTCTGTTTCTTACAAACTTTCACATGTACTGGCATGTTTCATTATGTGATGTCGTATACTAGTAAGTGAGCATACTGAATTGAGATTCAGGAGAGGCAGATCTAGACTGAAGTCCTTAAGAGAAGATGATTGATGCAACTGATGCATCTTCAAATTGCTTTCTTGAGCAGTATACTCTTGTCCTGTCATTTGGCTTGTTCACAGCAGTGGCTGCATTTGAGCTTCCTCCTGGCCTCACCATCCCATCCTGCCACGCTGAGCTGCCACATTTTACTAGAACAACCTGCCACGCTCAACATGGGAACATGCGTCTCTACTGCCTTCTCGTGTCCACCAGAAGAAGTGACGCATGATGGGCAGGTCGATGCCTTTGGAAGGAGTTTTGGAATGATGACAACTGTGACTGGCATGCCAATGCCTCTTTTCCATTTTTTTAAACGTTTTACTGATATCTTGTATTTTTAACAATGTCAAATTTTCTGTTTTTCAAGGACCGTTCCTAGATCTTCTGCCTCAATCTCAAGTCATTATGCTCACCTACCTGTTTGCTGATATCAAAGCTATATGGTAGAAGCACTCATTTCTCTTGGGCTGTCTGTGTCTTCCCTCTTCACTACTACCTCTGAAGAAGAAAAGCACCTCCTCTGAGCTAAATAGGAACCCAGATTACAGAGTAGAAAGAGCAGATGGAGAAATAATCAGAAAGAGCAGAAATGTAGATAGAAAAGATAGAAAAAGCAGAAATGGAGGCAAATGTGGACTCTTCTCCAGAAATGTTTAGTCCAAAGGAAGAAAAAAGTCTGACAGTAGAAGAAGATAGAATAATTGAAGGAAAGTTTTCGACAGTAGGGAAAACTTGAGTTCATTTATATGCTGATGGAAAACCTCCAGTGGAGAGGAACTGGTTAATAGAATGTGTTTCAGAGCAAACAGCAGAAGGTACTTCATCCTATATGCTTCCGATTTATTTCCTCATCTCACCTTTACTCTTTACATATCCCAACATGTCAAGCATCACACATTGGAAATAAATATGGTCAATAAATATTTACTCAGTTGAATCATACTGAGAACATTGGATTGGTCCAGTTATGAAGCCCAAGTCACAACTAGGGTTCTCTTGCATGGTTCCTGCTTTTGTCTAAATGACACTCCCCACTACCACCATCTCCTACTTTGTAAGAAAAGTGATCCAGAAGAGAGTAGCTCCATTACCATCATTGTTTATATCGATCTTACGGAACACTAAGTTGGTGAATTCTTCAGGACTCAGGGTTTGCTGGCCATTGAGGGCTTGTACCGCCTGCAAAAAGACATTAAATCAAAGAGGTCAACTTTTCTGGAAGCAAATACATTTTGCAACATTTCTGCTCCAATGTGACAGAATTTGGGGATGTGTTAATGTCAGTTGCTATCCAACCTGTACCAGTTGTTAAAAGTAAATAAAAAGAAAAGATTGTATGTCAGTTCTGTGTAATGAGACTTGGAAATTAAATGAACTAAATAAAGACTGAAATCCTATTTTATACAGTATAAAGGGATCCATTCAACATATTAGATCACAACAGATGCAATAAGCCCATTGGAGAAAATATTGTAGTGGTCATGGTCATAAGAATTCCAGACCCAGAAAACAGACATCGCTCTCAATTTCAGACAGGTTCATTTGGGTCTTATGGATGAAAGTAAAAGGATGACCACAACGCTGTAAGAGTCTCAAGCTTCCTCTCGGGCTTCCACTGCTGGCACCCCTGGTTCTTTGTGCCTTTTTGTAGAATGATTGACTGGGGAGACAGATATATACGGCTTCAAAGGGCACTGAATTTCTCCCACACTCTGCCAGAGACCAGCGGGCAAATGACATTTCCAGCCTTCCTAGAGGAAAGACATAGCTAACCTCCCCTAACCCCAAGGTGATTAAATTAAATGACCCAGACTTGGTATAGAACTTCATAATAAAATGAAAGAGGATTATTCATTTGGGAATTTGAACATAACTCTCTTGATTGAACATGAAGGAATCTTTAGAAAAACTTCTAGCAATGTATTTCAATTAGAGGACACAATCATAAATATGGCTGTCTCTCTCTTGCTGCCTCCCAAGCATTACCCACGTTAAGTCCAGGATTAATCATAATAAATGGTGGTAAAAAACCAGTCCTGGCTTTAGCAAGTTTAGGTCTCACAGATCTCATGGTTAAATATAGGACAATATTTAAAGTAACTGTTACATACATATAGCATCACATTTGAAGAAGATTTTAAGGATTTCTCAGTGTTTGGTCAGAGGCTTCAAAAGCCTAGAAAATTTGGCCAGATATCCAGTATCCCCACGTTCTGAAGTGATATTAGACCACATAAAGAGTCATAGCAAAAAACTGTGAGATCTTGATTTGTTCATCACCAATCTTCAGGTCATATAAGTGCAAGTGAAATATGGAAAATGGAGGAGCACTGAGGGGATATTTTTGGAGGGAATCGTCAGCTTGCTCTGTTTTCTTTCTTTTTTTATTAGAAGCAGCAGGATCAGGGGACAGGCAAGAAGCTTTCTTCTTCTTCTTTCTTCCTCTTCCTCTTCCTCTTCCTCTTCCTCTTCCTCTTCCTCTTCCTCCTCTTCTTCTTCTTCTTCTTCTTCTTCTTCTTCTTCTTCTTCTTCTTCTTCTTCTTCTTCTTCTTCCTTCTTCCTCCCTTCCTCATTTACTACATTCATTCTTCCTTCCCCAGTTGCCTAATGGCAGTATCTGAGCACTCCCTGTGTGGGAGCAGGAGGACGCAGGAGAGAAAGGGAAGCAGGAGAGTTCTCACATGGCAAGTACTGTCCTGGTTAGCTAATTTCAGTGCTCCCTGGCCTGAAAGGTGTAGACGCTCTCTCCTGCAATTCTGTAGGCATGAATCATGCATCTTGATTCCAGCTGTTCCCTTTCCTGCTTAGAATTTCTTAAAATCTGCGGCCAGGTGCGGTGGCTCATGCCTGTAATCCCAGCACTTTGGGAGGCCGAGGTGGGTGGATCACGAGGTCAGGAGTTTATAGACCAGCCTGGCCAATATGGTGAAACCCCATCTCTACTAAAAATACAAAAATTAGCCAGGCATGGTGACGGGTGCCTGTAATCCCAGCTACTCAGGAGACTGAGGCAGGAGAATTGCTTGAACGGAGGTTGCAGTGAGCCGAGATCATGCCATTGCACTCCAGCCTGGGTAAAAGAGAGAGACTCGGTCTCAAAAAAAAAAAAAAAAGAAAAGAAAAAAAGAGTTTCTTAAAATCTGCACAATTGCCGTTTTTAGATTAGGCAATTCTTTCTTGTTCAGGCCTGTCCTGTGCATTGTTGAATACTTAGCAGCCTCCTTGGTCTCTAAGCAATAGATGGCAACAGTACTACGCATTCTCTATTCTCCAACTCACCAAAATGTCTCCAGACAATGTGCAATGTCCCCTGAATAGAGATTCTCCGGGTTGAGAACAAGTGCTCTAGGTCTACCTGCAGCTTTGAGTTTTCTTCACATCTTCCAGTGGCCCTGCAGGATAAGATCTAACACAGATCTATGCCAGCTTCCTCTCACAGTGTTCCATACCTGATCTATGGAAAACACCCTAGCATACTTTGTCCCAACAAATTCTATGCAGGCAGATACTTCCAAAGTGTGCACTCTTGCTGCCACTGTTTGCTTCTTTAGGCTTCTCACTCATGACTCAAACACTCACTGTTGTGATCCTCAAATTGCAGGATACAACCACAGTTCAATGGTTTCCTAACATACTCGTGTTATTGACCTGGGGGGGTCCTACTAATTAAATTTTCCTCAAAAATCCTTAAAAACCTTTCTCTGGACTGTTTTATACCCTTGAAGTGAGATTAAGCTGTAACTATCTCCTTTGTAGATACTGCCTATGCTCTGGTACTTCCTTGCAATCTCTTAATGCCTGGGCTGAATTGCATTTTAGCGTCTGTATTGTATGTAGAGAGAACTTAGATTATACACTTTTTATTTACCTTGCTGATTTTTTTCACTTGCCTGTTGTATAGAAAGTATGTTTCTAGGCTACCAATTTCTTAATAAGTGTATATTTTATTGCATTAATTTATTTAAACATTTTCCTCTTTTAGTTTTTTAGAATTTTTTGCTATCTTAAGAGATTCTGTGATGTAAATCATAGGACTTTCATCTCTAATATTTGTTTTCCCTGACTCAAAATAAGTAATGCTAACTCTAAAATGAAGATCAGCTTTCAGCCTCTCGACGCAGGTTACCACATTTCCCAGAACGTTTTATCCACTTACACTCTCTCCACAGTGTGTAAGATGCCTTCCTTACCACGCTCTTACCAGAATTTGCTATTATTGTTTTCAGTACTGATTAATATAGAGACAAATGGTATCTAATTATTAAATTTCTGTTCTGTGCTTTTATTATTTCAATTTTCCTATGTTCTTTTTTTTCCCTTTCTAAGCACTTTGAGGGAAAATTCAATTTGCGACTTACTACTTCTCTTTCCTTGGCTCACTAACTGAAGTTATACATTTTAACCAATAAAAATCTACAGCACATTTCCCCGTAAGTTATAGACAAAATCACGTTTATCCTTGTTGTTCCTAATTCTTTTCAGAATCTGATGACTCTTTCCTTCACCCAAAAAAAGCATAACATACAGGCAAAATTTTGTCCTTAAGTTTAAGGGCTAAAATGACTCCTGAAGGCCATTGATTCTTAGATCCCAGACTAAAAACCCTTGTTTCAAGAAATGCTTTGGTGGCATCCTAAGATCTGTATGCTGTATTTACATTTTCATTGTTTTTAGAAGAAGCTGAGTATTTAAAAGAACATTTTTAAATTTACATGGGGTTGGGTATTCTCCATAGAATATTTGATTTCTAATTTTGTGTTGCAATATATAAGGTATAGGCAGAATTTCTAAATCGTTCACTTGCCAAGTGAATCCTAGCACATTTTTTGTGTGAATGATCTATATGAAATTAAAATATTAGCAATATTGGTATTATCCTACCCTTGAACTCTTTCCATATGTTGTTTAACTCTATATTTGCTTATTTAGCTTTCCATTTTTATCTGCTTTGAACATTTGTTGAGAAGTTTAATTATAAATGTAGTTCTACTCACTTATTTTTCTGGCATTTTTGCTAATATTTCTACTATGTATTTTATTTGTAACTCAGCTCCTTCATCTATGAAACAAAGAATTTGGACCAGATCATTTCTAAGACATCTAATTCTAATGCTCTTTGAGTCTGTGTTACAAATTCAATGTCTTGGATTCATAATATTAATTTTACCTCTTATCTTTATTTAGGTATAGTGTCCCACTTTACCAATTTTTACTCTGGGCTCTTTACTGTTTCATACCATGATAATAACTATCTCCTACTCCATTGGGGTGATGGTATAGGGGCTTAGAAAGGCACTTACTGAACTTTAGATATGGAAAAGATCTGAGATCCCTGAACCAACTATTAGAAATATTTCAGTATAGCTCCCAGAAAGATCAGTCCTCACATACCTTCATTTTTAGTCCATGTCTCTTGTTAAACATATATAAACCATCTCATAGTTTAGCTATTCCTCATGAGGCATTCTGCACTGAGGCAGAGAAAAAGATAAGTTGTTTTACACTATCATATTTGTTTCATTTTTTTCATTGCAATGCTCTGTTAAATTTGTGAATGCCAGGGTGGATTGCACCAAGAAGGAATAGCTGATTTGCTGCTGTTGCCCATTCAGCAATCAATAGGTTAAGTAAAGTTTACATTACTTCAGCAATTCAAAATGTATATCCCAAAAACAGCCAACCCCATAGACAGCTGTTACCTACTCCATAGGAAGGGAAATTGGGTTAACTGTATAGTGGCCTGAAAAGGATACTTTACTGCTTCACTTACCACGAACATGTCCAGTAGTTCATTTTTGTCAATAGAACCATTTCCATCAACATCATACAGCTTAAAATACCATTTTAATTTTTGCTCCATTTTTTCTTGCACGATTAGATTTACAGCAGCAATAAACTCCAAAAAGTCAATAAATCCATCCTATGGAAATTAAGGTGAAAAGAAAAATAAATATTTAAGAAGAATAATTGTTTTTTATTTGAGAAGTCAGCATTCATGAACAGGGCCTTTAGTATAACTTAAATCAATCCAAAAGATTTCAGCATAAAACTTTTCCCTAGTGTTTCATTTAAAAAACGTTTACAGACACAAGTGACTTTAATTTTACAATTAAGTGCCTTAAGTAAATAGGCATTATTTTTTAGTGTAGTTTTAGGCTCACAGCAAAATTGAATGGAAGGTACAGAGGTTTCCTATATACTCCCTGTCTCCACACATGCATAGCCTCCTCCATTGTCAACGTCTCCCACCAGAATGGGACATTTGTTACAATTGCTGAACCTACACTGACACATCATCATCACCCAAAGTCCATAGTTTACATTAGTGTCCAGTCTTTGTACTTTACATTCTGCAAGTCTAGATATATAATGCCATGTACCCACCATTATAGTGTTGCATAGAGTAGTTTTGCTATCCTAAAATTCCTCTGCGTTGTGCCTATTTAGTCTTCCCTAACTCCTGACAACCATTAATCTTTTAATGGTCTCCATAGCTTTACCTTTCTAGAAAGTTACATAGTTAAAATTATATAGTGTGTAGTATATGGTACGTAGTTTTTTCAGATTGGCTTCCTTCACTTAGTAATATGCATTTAAATTTCCTCCTTGTCTTTCCAGGGTTTGATAGCTCATTTTTTTTCAGCACTAAATAATACTCCATTGTCTGGATGTACTTCAGTTTATTTATCCATTCACTTCCTGTAGGACATTTTGGTTGCTTCCAGATTTTGGCAATTGTAAATAAAGTTGCTATAAATATCTATGTGCAGATTTCTTGTGGACTTATGTTTTTAACCCCTTTGGACAAATACCAGGGCATTTGGATGATATGTAAGAGGATGTTTAGTTTTTAAGAAACTGCCAAACTATCTTTCAAAGTAGTTGAACCATTTTACATTTCTACCAGCACTGAATGAGAGTTCCTGTTGCTCCACATCCTCACTGGCATTTGGTGTTTTTAGTGTTCTGGATTTTGGCCATTCTAATGGGTGTGTAGTGGTATCTCCTTGTTTTAACTTGCAATTCCCTAATAATATATGATGTTGAACATCTTTTTATGTGCTTGTTTACCACCTGTATTTCTTCTTTGGTGAAATATTTGGCCTATTTCTTAATCAGATTGTTTTCCTTTTTTCAATTTTTTTAAAATTTCAATAGGTTTTTGGGAATCGGGGGCATTTGGTTACATGAATACATTTTTTAGTGGTGATTTCTGAGATTTTGGTGCACCCATCACCTGAGCAGTGAACACTGTACCCAAGGTGTAGTCTTTTATCCCTCACCACGCTCTACCCTTTCCCCAAAGTCCAATGTATCATTCCTATGCCTTTGCATCCTCATAGCTCAGCTCCCACATATGAGTGGGAACAGACACTGTTTGGTTTTTCCATTTCTGAGTTACTTCACTTAGAATAATAGTCTCTACTTTTATCCAGGTTGCTGTGAATGCCATTATTTCATTCCTTTTTATGTCTCAGTAGTATTCCATGGTGTATACACACACACACACACACACACACACACACACACGGATAATTTTCTTTATCCACTCATTGATTGATGGGCATTTAGGCTGGTTCCATATTTTTGCATTTGCAAATTGTGCTGCCGTACACACGCATGTGCAAGTATCTTTTTCATATAATGACTTCTTTTTCTCTGAATAGATACCTACTAGTAGGATTGCTGGATCAAACAGTAGGTCTATGTTTAGTTTTAAGGAATCTCCACGCTGTTTCACATAGTAGTTACATTCCCACCAGCAGTGTAAAAGTGTTCCCTTTTCTCTGCATCCATTCCAACATTTGTTGTTTTTTTGATTATGGCCATTCTTGCAGGAGTGAGGTGACATTGCATTGTGGTTTTGATTTACATTTCCCTGATAATTAGTGACGTTAAGCATTTTTCCATATGTTTGTTGGCCATGTGTATATCTTCTTTTGAGAATTGTCTATTCATGTCCTTAGCCCACTTTTTTATTATTATTATACTTTAAGTTCTGAGATACATGTGCAGAACGTGCAGGTTTGTTATACAGGTATACACATGCCATGGTGGTTTGCTGCACCCATCAATCCGTCACCTACGGATTAGTATTTCTCCTAATGCTATCCCTCCCCTAGCTCCCTACCCACCGACAGGCCTCTCCCTATGTCCATGTGTTCTCATTGTTCAACTCCCACTTATGAGTGAGAACATGAGGTGTTTGGTTTTCTGTTCCTGTGTTAGTTTGCTGAGAATGATGGTTTCCAGCGTCATCCATGTCCCTGCAAAGGACATGAACTCATTCTTTTTTATTAACCCACTTTTTGATGGGTTTGTTTGGTTTTTTCTTGCTGATTTGTTTGAGTTCTTTGTAGATTCTCGCAATTAGTCCTTTGTCGAATGTACAGATTGTGAGATTTTCTCCCACTCTGTGGGTTGTCTGTAAACTCTGCTGATTATTTCTTTTGCTGTGCAGAAGCTTTTTAGTTTGAGTCCTATGTATTTATTTTTGTTTTTGTTGCATTTGCTTTTGGGTTCTTAATCATGAAGTCTTTGCCTAAGCCAATATCTAGAAGGGTTTTTCTGGTGTTATCTTCTAGAATCTTTATGGTTTTGGGTCTTTAAGTCTCTGATCCATCTTGAGTTGATTTTTGTATGAGGTGAGAAACAAGGATCCAGATTTATTCTTCTACATGTAGCTTGCCAATTATCCCAGCACCATTTGTTGAATAGGGTGTCCTTTCCCCACTTTATGTTTTTGTTTACTTTTTCAAAGATCAGTTGGCTATAAGTATTTGGCTTTATTTCTGGGTTCTCTATTCTGTTCTATTTGTCTATGTGCCTATTTTTATACCAGTGCCATGCTGTTTGGTTGACTATGGCCTTATAGTATAATTTGAAGTTGGGTAATATGATGTCTCTAGATTTGTTCTTTCTGCTTAGTCTTGATTTAGCTATGCAGGCATTTTTTTTTTTTTTGTTCCATATGAATTTTAGAATTTTTTTTCTATTTCTGTGAAAAATGTTGGTGGTATTTTGATGGGAGTTGCATTTAATTTGAAGATTGTTTTTGTTCTATGGTCATTTTCACAATATTGATTCTACTCATCCATGAGCATGGGATGTGTTTTCGTTTGTTTGTGTCATCCATGATTTCTTGCAGCAGTGTTTTGCAGTTTTCCTTGTAGAGGTCTTCCAACTCCTTGGTTAGGTATATTCCTAAGTAATTTTTTTGCAGCTATTGTGAAAGGGGTTGAGTTCTTAACTTGATTCTCAGCTTGATCGCTGTTGGTGTATAGAAGAGCTACTGGTTTGTGTACCTTAATTTTGTATCCTTAACTTTTGCTGAATACATTTATCAGTTCTAGGAGCTTTTTGGAGGAATCTTTAGAGTTTTCTAGGTATATGATCACATCATCAGCAAATAGCAACAATTTGACTTCCTCTTTACTGATTTGGACTCCCTTTTTTTCTTTCTCTTGTCTTATTGTTCTGGGTAGGACTTCCAGTACTAAGTTGAACAGAAGTGGTGAAAGTGGGCATCTTGTCTTGCTCTCAAGGGAAATGCTTTCAACTTTTACCCATTCAGTATGATGTTGGTTGTGGGTTTGTCACAGATTACTTTTATTACCTTAAGGTATGTCCCTTCTATGCCGATTTTGCTGACGATTTTAATCATAAAGGGATGCTAGATTTTGTCAAATGCTTTTTCTGTGTCTGTTGACATGACCATGTGATTTTTGTTTTTAATTCTGTTTATGTGGTGTATTACATTTATTAACTTATGTACGTTAAACCATCCCTGCATCCCTAATATAAAACCCACTTGATCTTGATGGATTATTTTTTTGATATGCTGTTGGATTTGGTTTGCTAGTATTTTATTGAGGGTTTTTGCATCTTTGTTCATCCGGGTTATTGGTCTGTGGTTTTCTTTTTTTTGTTATTTCCTTCCTGGTTTTGGTATTAGAGTGATACTGGCTTAATAGAAGGATTGAGGGAGAATTTCCTCTTTCTCTAGCTTTTGGAATAGTATCAATAGGATTCATACCAATTCTTTTTTGACTGTCTAATGTAATTCCGCTGTGAATCCTGGACTTTTTTGTTGGCAATTTTTTTGTTACCATTTCAATCTTGCTGCTTGTTATTGGTCTGTTCATAGATTCAATCTCTTTCTGATTTAATCTAGGAGATTTGTGTATTTCCAGGAATGTATCCATCTTCTCTAGGTTTTCCGTTTTATGCACATAAAGGTGTTCATAGTAGCCTTGAATGATCTTTTGTATTTCTGTGGTATCGGTTGTAACATCTCCTGTTTCATTTCTAATTGAGCTTATTTGGATATTCTCTCTTCTTTTCTTGGTTAATCTAGTTAATGGCCTGTCAATTTTATCTTTTCAAAGAACCAGCTTTTTGTTTCATTTATCTTTTGTATTTTTTTTTTTTTCAATTTCATTTAGTTCTGCTCTGATCTTCATTATTTATTTTCTTCTGCTGGGTTTAGGTTTAGATTATTCATGTTTATCCAGTTCCGTGAGGTGTGACCTTATTTATGCTCTTTCAGACTTTTGATGTAGGCATTTAATGCTATAAACTTTCCTCTTAGGACCACTTTTGCTGTATCACAGAGGTTTTGATAGGTTGTGTCACTATTATCATTCAGTTCAAGGAATTTTTAAATTTCCATCTTAATCTCATTGTTGACCCAACGATCATTCTGAAGCAGGTTATTTAATTTCCTTGTATTTGCATGGTTTTGAGGGTTCCTTTTGGAGTTGATTTGCAATTTTTTTCCACTGCAGTCTGAGAGAGTACTTGATATACTTTCAATTTTCTCAAATTTACTGAGACTTGTTTTGTGGCCTAACATATGGTCTATCTTGGCGAATGTTCCATCTGCTGATGAACAGAATGTACATTCTGCAGGTATTGGGT